GAAAAAAAAAAAATTGTGTTCCTTGAGAGTGACCGCATTGACGCCGAAGCCAAATGAACAAGAAGAGCTTTCGCGATGGTCAGTCGTCTCGCCCAGAAAGGAAAAGGACTCCCAATATCAGCGGTGAAGCGCGAAAGCTATCAAGGCAGACAGCCGGCTGCCGTACAAGGCTCGATGCAGACAAGGGTAAATAGAAACAGGGGAACGACGGCAAGCCGATCAGCGCTGGAGACTCATGTTTCGGGCAGGCAGACAAGGCAACGGCTGTGGGCATTCTCGGCACTGATGTTCCATTCAAGGCGCGTCGCTGCAGGGCGCCCTTGTTGCCTGAACGCCTTGCAGAAAGTGATCAAAGTTCGAATGCCCCGAGATCGTCGACTTGACTCGACCTCTTCGGGGGACTTTAAACAAAAGAAGGCTCTGACGAGCAATTCGACTCAATGGCACAAAGTGTTGGCCAAACCGTACCGAGTGATTGCGCCATGTCTCGCAATATCAGCTCATGGGGATTCGTTGATTCAGGTGCCTGCCATAAATGGCAAAGAGGAAATACGGCTGGCGCACCGAAGTGGCGCGCGAGAGGCGAGAGAGGCCAAAAGCGATTTATCAGATGTTCTGGCGTAATCTAGAAGGATGAGTAGTGCATCACTGGGCGCCTTCCGAGCACCTAATACGGCACTCGCCATCTGGCGCCATCGGTCGCGTAGCTCGCTTATGTGCTCTCGTGTGGAAGGCGGTCGGGGTGTCAGGGAGACGTCATGCGTCACCAGGACAGGCCACTGATACTGCCGGCTGTCGAGTTGATGGCGACAGCGGTACAGCGCGTTCAGACTGCTTAAGGTTTTGGTCTCCCAGGACGACGAACCCTCCTACCATGACGCTTCACCAGGGTGTTTCGGTGAAAAAAGTAAGCTACGTTGGAGGGAAGCAAAGCCGTGATCCGTCTATGCAAACCCAGATAAGGAACACAGTGATGGAACACAAAGGGTCCACGCCCAGCCCAACCTGCCCTGCCATGGCCTGGAAATGGATGGTACCGACATAAAGTGATGGATGGATGGAGCATGTTGGGCGGTGGTGTTGGAAGGGGTGGGTACCTTCTACACAGCAGGAGAGTGACTCGTCTTGCTATCGCACGCATCCAGTTCAGCTTATCGCGCAATGATAACGTCCAGGAGCGCGCGCACCACCCGATAACGCCAACCCGAAGAGGGGTGTCCAGTGTCTTGGAGCGTGACTGCCTGGTTCCCCGCTTGTACCAGACAAGTCTCCCCACAGCCCGATCTAGGCGCCTGTTCGAGGTGACCCAGCTGCTTCCAGACGCCTCTTGGACCCTGGCAGAGACCTGGAAGGTACGTGCGGGGCGAAGTCGATGCACCTGCATTGGTCGCCCGGAAGTGCTGGCAGCAAGCAGCAACAGTAGCAGGAGCCACCAGCTGCGCAGGTGCACATTGCATGCCGCCGATAGCATGGGGCTCCAAGGCCTGTCACCGCATCACGAGCCCACCCCCCAGGTCCCAGGGCTTCAATGTCTTACAGAGACTTCGAGGGCGCGGCGATCATTCATTTCCCCCTCTCCCTTAAAAAAAGGAAAAAGACAGATGTGATTGTTTTGTTTGTGTTTATAATATAGAAGAGAGACAGTCCCC